CACGTGTCACCGTTAAATATTACCGTATTTTATCATGTCCGTCTACATCGTAAGTATTCCCGGAACAGTACGTTTACGAAAAATCGTGCAGCATAATAAAAATTCTCGCGGGTAGTGTCGATTCGAAATATGCTTATTCGCGTATGAAAGGTCAATTCGAGTTGAAAGTGTTAAGTCCTGGCTCGTAACTTTTCTGACAAATTCGTCGCTCAAGCTTTTCACTTGCGTTAATTCAAACGAACGTTGTTCGACATATTTCACGAAGCGGTTCGCGTTCCCTTCACACCGACCTTAGAAAACACGCGACGTGTCTTACATTAAAGTTCGAGGACGGGTACGCACAATACACTACCTGTTGGGTCGACCTGTATCACCGCATTTGCGTGTGTCGGCGGTGGCGCTCTCACAGGTCACGCACGGTTCTGAAAATATAATGTAGCCAGCCACGCGGTAATACGCGCGGAAATCTATCTATTCGTGATCACAACGGAACGATGTTATTTACTTTTTTAATCGAAACTAACGGCGAACAGATCAACGAGGCGAGAAACACGTTTGTGGCGAATGAAGATCTTTTCCGTAGTCGTTTGAATGGTCGGACACGAAAACACCACGTCGAAGTTTAAAGGCAACCTTGCGCAGGTGAACGCAGCCAGACCGTTCGCTGTACTGGCAGGTTGGCAGGTCACTCTCTTGTGTACCGCCAAGACACACCGGCCAGGTGCATTCTCGCCCCGCTTGCCTGCTTTTCTACCTGAGCGAGAGCATTCGCCGTGGAGGACCGCATAGTGGCCTCTCGACGAGCGTTACAGGTTATGTCACGTAATACACGCCCGCGATGACTTATCGGTTGAGGCTCGAGGTCGCAGCGTCGATCGAGAATAGGTCAAACACGAACTGTTCATAACGAAAATACACATACGGGCTATCAAATACTTTTAAGTATGCTACCTTTTGTTACACCTAAGCGTTATTTTTGTAGAAATTCCTTGCCCAATCCGCTTACTATTTCTTCTAGCAACAGGTAAAACCTGTAACGCTGACTGGCAGCATCGGGGCAATAGATAGTAGTAGATAAAATTCGTTTGTAATGAATTAACAGTACGCATATTCTCAAAAATATTAAGATAAATTCTTCGATTCTTTAAAAGTATTTATTAAGCGTTATTTATTATTACTAGTCGACCGCTGGAAAAGTATGGTAGAAGAGAAACTTCATGAACTTACATTTTAAGAATACGTTTTTGTTGCACATATACAATGAATTTCACGTAAAAAGATCGTTTAGAAATAAATGATATTTTAAAATATTTGAAGGAAAACAAAATGTTGATTTAAAATTTTATTATTGTATAGATCAACTCTAAATACACTGTGACAAAGCTTTAATGCATTTTTTGACTAAATAATTTGATGTTTATTAAATTGATTTTATTTTCGTTAGTTGTAATTACTGTCTTTTAAAAATACTATATAGCCTTATAACCTTTCGAGTGGTCATTCCAAGTCACCTACAGACTTCTTGGAACAGCGTCAGTGAAGAAGAATAGTCACTCGAGAGTAATTATTTCTATACGACCGGACTTCACAGGTAAAGGTCGCTCGTGGGTCCGAAGGTTACCTCCTACCTACTCGATCACCGCATCGACACAGATTTAACTTGTAATCCTACTCGTTGCGTTAAGCTGCATTACTAATTGTGCATTATTTCTTTTTTGTTATGTATATTTATTGTACTTTATTTTGTCTCCACTTTCTACGCTTTAGTTTTCAAGAATTTACAATGACGTCACGCTTTTGTTCGTAAAGATAAGGAATAATGACACGAATTTTTCCATCCATTAAAAAAGGTTTTTCTTCACTTCTGTGATCAGAAATTTGACTGTTTACTATTGGTTTAATATATGCTACAAGTGTAGCGAGTTATTAAGATGCTTTTTAAATAAAAAATATAAGGTAATTGGAAGATGTACGTATACAGAAAATAAATATTCGGAACAGAAGTCTGCAATAAACTGACTTATTATCGACAGAACACAAAGATGCATGATGGTAATGTCAGAATAACATATGATCACTGAACCGTCATTAACAGAACTCAATTCTCCACCTACTAATATTTCATAAAGATGAAAAGATACAAATATTTTGTACCTTGTAATACAGTAAATGGGACGTGTATGTATAAATTGATACGACATAGACGAGCCATCGTTCGAAATTTCAAGTATCGTTATCGATGGTAGGATAAAGGCACAACTAAACAAAGGTAAATAAGTAATCGTTAGATAAACTTACCTTTATAATTAATAATGACGTCTGGTCCGATTACGCGTCATTTGGACAGTTCATAGCAACAACTAGGCTTCGTCAACTATCCGTGGGTTAGAGTTCATAACCTCTTCTAACCTTTACCTTTTCTTTACCTCTTTCCCCCCGTATCTAACCCCACCGCTCACCTTTATACCCACCCGACATTGCATCTACTGGCATCGATATGTAGTTGCATTAAGATCGACGATTTCAAATCACTGTTGTAGAATTTGTACGTCACGCTAAGTTCTCGGCAATCTTGAGAACTGTTTGTAGGAAGTATCGCCATAATGGGAACGGAAGTGGTGGTGTGACCATCACTTACTTTAAATTTGTTCTTAAAATGATATTCTTGTTTAGAAAATCAAAAGGTCGATTCATTTTTTCAAGTGTACTATATTAGATGTTTAAAAGACCCAGCAATACATAGAAATGTGAGCAAATGAAATTAAAAAAGTTGCAAGTTTATGAAAACAGCACAAAGAATTGTAGTAAAACCACATTATGTATTGAAAAGATTCTTTATTGCAAATCATTTTTCATGTAATGCGTGTAATACAATATTTCATTGTACAAGAATTAATAAAGCATATCATATTGCCAATACTCATAGTAGTTAATATTACATGTACTGGCATCAGATTTTCGTCACTATTGAAATATACATTTACTTATTGTTAATGAACTAACTTATTTTTACTATTATATCACTATCGTATTTTTACAGATGTAATAATATTCGCAGAAAGCCCTGTTATTTATTGTTATTCACCTATAAAATTTGGTGTGCTCAAATGATGTCTTAAATAATGCCATACGCCGAGATGAAAGACACTGTATTGTTTAAACTAATTTAAAAAATATACTAATATTGTTTTTAAATGTTCAATTACAATTAAATTCAAATGGTAGTTAGCAAAACATAAAACTTTACAATTGATACAGTTTTTAAATGTTTGCCCATTACCATTTATATTGCAAAATATTATAATTTATTTACAATGGAAAACAATAGATGTAAATAACAAAATTAATCAAGTTTCAAGTTACTTTCTACTATTGGCTTTTTAAGTCTTGTAGAATTGTCTTACTGGTACAATCAATTAATTGTAACCATTATTATTTATAATGCCAGGTACATTTTGTTTCTTATTTAATTTACTTCTATGAAAATCAAAAACAAGTGCGCTTATAACTTTCCAAACTTAGAATGTAAGTGAAAATAACAATTTTCATATTTTTGAAGTATCAAATAGCAGAAGATACTACCAGTAATATTAAGTGTACAATTCTTCTTTCATAAAGAAGTAAATACGAATGAACTGAAAGTTCATAATACAAGTATAGTCAGTAAACTTATTTCAAATCTAATAACATTATCACATATCAGTAGATGTTACATATTGTGTAATAGTATGCATGAACACTTTTTTTAATGTTTCTGTGTCTGGGGATAATAACAGACCTCATTGTAAAAGTTCTTTACATTCACAAATGTCATTCCAAATAATATAAAACATTTTTTCCCTTTTGTCACCTAGAATGTCATATATCCATTACAAATTTTTACTTTTTACTGCATTAATCAGCAGTAAGTAATCTTTTGCATGAATCTAGTAAACGTACAGAAATGAAGTTCAATTTCATATGGTCTTGCAGTTACAATACATATTTTTTTTAGTATAACTGGCTACTACTTGTATAATATTACTTATACAATTGTATTTTTTCATATATATGTTTAAAATTTATTATATTGACAAGATGTGTTATGGAAGTAAACAAATTCAAATGAATTGTAAAATTTATATAGGTAAGCCTTTCACCTATTAAGAATGCTTTCACTAGATATGTTTAATACCTCATTGTTTTAGTTTGTCATTTTCAGAAATTATAAGTACTGTCATTAATAACAGTCTAAATTAACCTTACACTTTAACATATAAAATACAATTGATGCATATGCTGAAGGCCCAAACACCTTCATGATTTTACACAGAAGTGTCAATTGTGATTGTTCTGTCAATTATTTCAGCAGGTACTGCAGGTTGATCACAAAGATTTTGCATATTCGGATAAAGGCAGATATAATAGCAGATCTAAAATCCTGTCTAAAGGTCTTAAAAATATTTAGCACATAGTGTATCCTGAAAGAAATTTATATTTACCTAGAGATTAAAAAACCTTAAATAAATGTGATAAAGCTTTCTTTATATATTATTAATGGTAATTAAATTAACACTTTTATTATAATAATTTAAACTTACATTTACACTATATCAGTGAATTTTAATGCCCAAATACTTCTTGGCTAGCAAATTCTATATAAAGAAAACCATCCTCATCTTTTTCTCTTTGATACAGTTGTGCCATAGTCATACTACCGCTTGCCATACTTCTTTGGTTTACTAGTAGAAAAAATGCTTGTGTTGGATGAAGTTGTAGTCTACGCCTGTTAATTTTTAATAATAAGCAAACCGCATTAATTAAATATTGATATTTTAAATAGTTTAAAAGAATTAATTAAAGCACACCTAATAATTTTTATAAGTTCTGCTACTGTCAAATAATCGGGCACCAAGAATTTATACTTGTCCAGCACGGGTAACTGCTTTTCTCCATAACATCGTTCAACAATAACAGGTATCTTATTTGGATGTTGTTCTCTAATCAAATCTACATCAGCCATTCGTTGTGCTATAGTTTTTAAAAAGAACATCTAATACACTTCTATGCATAGAGGTTAATAAAAAATGAAAATAGCTGAATTATTAAAATTACAATAATAAAAGTAGTATTCTTAAACTTATTATATAACTTATACATGTAAATGAAAATTAGAAATAAATATATTTACAATTCAGTTGTATTTTCCTTGATGAATAAAAATATATCATGTGACTTGTCAATAAAATAAAAGTAAACTATATTGTAAAGCAAATGAAACGTCACACGGAAATAGTTTATTTACATTTCCTTTAGATTTTATTTAAAATCCCGGGAGAGATATATTTGATGTTCCAAATATTCTTACCAACGGAACGTTTTTCTTTAAATGATTTTGGCGTCAAACTCATCTTGATTTCACTATCAGCTACTACGACGTAGTCCTTACGATATCAGCTGTACGCTTATGAAAGTATTCTTGACGAGTCAAAATAACGCCAGTCTCTGACTGTTTGAAGCTTAGGTTAGGCTTTGTGGACACTAACGATAACATATGTTCGTATTGCCAAGTGCTGCCCTCTTCAAACAGCATCAAGCTTTTTGCATTCGACCACAACCAATTCTTCCTTCATTGTCTTTTTGACAGCGAATGTTTGTCATGGATAATACAGTACACAGAGACGAACAAAGCAGATCATACAATTATTATTTTTCATACGAGTACTGTCATAACACAATATAATTCTTATTATTAACGGGGAAGATCATTTTAACAAAAGACGTTTAAATAATAACATTACTTCCTTTAAAATGTATTAAGATGAAGCAATTTAATCAAAGTATCGTTCAACGAGAAAGCGGGGAACTAACACGAGACGGAGGTGCCACGATCTAAGTAAGATTGCAGTCTATGACCTCCCCTTGGCTTCGAAACAGGAATACGTACGGACATCTGTGCGTGCGGCAAGCACAACCGTCCGTGTACGTGAGAGTGCACGCGTGGGTGTCATAGCAGGCGTTTCTTTATGAATAGAGAAATAGTGCTCGCGCCTTGAGTGCCTCGATAAGTCGGTGAGTGTGAATATTTCTCAGTGAAAACGTGTGTCGGGATCAAATCAAGATTAATATCGTTAAATGAAGCTACGAAAAGCGTACCTGCCGCTCATCAGAATCGAACGTGCAGCTCCGTTAGTGCACGCACGCTAGATACCGAAAGGAAGGGGAACGAAGCAACAAAAACACCTGTATACAAAATCTATAGTCCTATCTTAGAGGCGCAACAGGAATGAAAGACAGTTGCGTCTCACTAATCGTGGAAATCACGATGGAGGGGTCTTCACCACCGGAAGCGTCGTGCTACGTTGCCTAACCGTGAAGATCCGCGAAGATCTCAGTGTAATCGCGTGGGTTCTCTCCGCATTTTAAGAACGCGACATCAAATACCCGGGAGGAATTGTGCATCAACCAGCCAGTCTGGCCGTTCATCCGTTTGCCTGGTCGTCTACCCCTACTAAACCGTCCTGACCAAACGTTTAACAGGGGTACAAAAAGAATAAACATGATGGCGTCGCGAGAGAGATAGGACGACTTGGCGACCAAGGAGAGGGAGAAGGAAAGAGAGAGAAAGAGAGACAGACAGACAGACAGACAGAGAGAGGGAGAGAGAAAGAGAGAGCGAGCGAACGAGCAAGGGAGAAAGAAAGAAAGAAAGAGAACTCAGCCAGTCAGCTAGCCAACCAACCAGTCAGTGTGCCAGAAGCGACGAACGTTCGTCTCGTGTTTTGTTTCTATGATAAAAAGAATAATCCGTCGTTCCTGAATCATCCACCCATTTTTGCATTTATCCGTCGTCAGACGGAAATCGTAACCATCGGAAGTAGAAACAACCGTTGCCCGATTAATGTTGAAGGAACAGTTCGCTTGTAAACAGTTATCAAGGTGCGGCCACGTTCTTCGTGTTCGCGCGGTGTTTGCTTCGATTTTCATGGGTGCGGGGTCCACGACCGAGCCGGCTAGAAATTCAGCGTATCGTCCGGCGACACGGTGGCTCGATTTCGGCGTCAGGCAGCCGCAAGGGTAATATGTCGCTCTCGAGGGAATTTCGTGTTGCGATTCGGTGCCGGTGACGATGACCGCTGTTTGAAATCGTGATACGTTTGAAATATTTTTTCTGGCCCGATTCGCAATAACGCCAGCAGTCCGGCGACGAACGGAATGATAATCAACGACCGAAGTATGCTGTAAATAAATTCATACGCAACGTTCGTCCTTCCATGCGACGAGCGACTGCCCCTTTGATTCTCAAAGAGGAAAATCTTTTTCTAATTAGACATAACGATTTCGACCGGACTAGAACTTTGCCAGCGACGTTATTCAAGATAATCGGCACAATGATCCACGGAGGGTGTCAGGAGATCTGATGGTGACGCGTGTATCGGGAAATTTCTGTGCGGTTCGATTCGAATTTTACCGCGCTCATGGTCGGTACGATTAAATTGATTAACGAAGAGTGGCCCCACCGAACGAAAATTTAGAGGGACAAATTGGGGCGGCCGGAATCAAGATAATATACATATATACGTATATCGACGGAAAACAACGTATTGGGGAAAAGGTGTCCGATGGAACGAAGTGGTAAAACTCGGCCGGCTCGGTGCCAATAACCTCCGGTCAGGAGAGGTTGGACAGTTTTCGCACGATGCTGCATTCGCCCTCGTGCAATGCGATAGATTACAAAATTAGACGTTCGAAGGCTCGTACGAAGGTAAAAGGAACGGCGCGTCGTTTCCATGCGGTAAAGAAGGTGGAGACACTGGCCGATGGTAACGAGGGAAGAAGGGTCAAGCGGCGAAGGGAATTGATACGAGTCGGATGAATAATTTCGACCGACTGGGGGGTTAGACAGCTGTGCGTTGTAGCCGGGAAGTGACGTCAGGCCCAACCGGGTTCCATAGTTCCTCTTGTTTTTCTCGCTGGCTCGTGCGTTCTCTTGGCTGTTCGGCTGATCCTATTTTTGTGGAGGGGTGCGTGTTCGTGCGGCAACGAAAATCGTATCGAAGGAACCAGGCACAGAGCCGGAACTGGCCCGCCGCGCTGTTTCGGTGCGGTGCTTTGTTCTTTGTCGTTAGAAGAATCACATCACAGCTTCTAGTCCGTTGCATTTACACACAACACCTATTATAGACGCGCGTATAACAAATACGCGTACCGAGGAGGCTCGTCGTTCTTTTAATTCCTTTCTCCGGCTTCTCGGGGAAAATATTTTTAGACGATCGATCATATTTCGAATTACAAGCGAGTATCTTTCGCAGCGCGACGTACTTTGGGGGATCGAAACACACGTTCCTCCGAGCGGTTTCTGGCCAACAATATACCCGTTGACCGGCAACGGTTCGAATACGTCCCGATACGCCTCGCGCTAACTCGATTATTTTCGTTTATCGTTCGTCTTCACGGAACGGCTCGACATTTAAAGCATTTTTACGACGAGACTGAAACCAATCGTATTGATTTGTCGATTCATTTCTAAGAACATCGACGACAGACGTCACAGGATCGTCTGAAGAATTATTAATTACAAATCCCGGTTGACTAAGACGAACGGTAATACCATTTATTGCGTTCGACTGATGCCGACGTCAACGAACCAATATGCTTTTTTATCTACACGACAATACATTGTAAGGTATCGAAGAACAGCGACCGGAAGTTAAAACAAAGAAATACGACGAAAGTGTTCTGCGCGATCGATGCGCCTGACTGTCCTCCATCTTATCGCAGGATCTATCTTGGAAACGTCAAGCGGTTGCGATGACCACGGCCAGGAAGTGATCATAGACGCGGAAGCGGACACTCCAGCGAGGCTGAGTCCCGACCTTCCTCGGTCCTTGCCCCCGAAAATATCGCGCGCGTTCCGAACTCGTAGTCGGGTGGACGCCACCCACCCAATGAGGGGTCTAACACGTTCGCCGCCACGCAACTCGCCACGATCATCGTCACCGGGGGAAGACCAGACCGCGAAGTCGGGAGTGTGTTCACTGTGGCCGTCGTCGATGCGCGTCCCTTTCCGCCAGCGATGTACCGGCTGCGTAAAACTACAGGTACATGCTGTTGTGTAGCATGAACGTTCCAGTTGTGACGCGACGTCGACGAACATCGAAGCATCGTTCACCATTGACGGACGTAGCGGCGAACGTGTTGACGATATCGGCGACCACGATCGAAATGCCGTTGCCAAGGCCGCAGACCTACATCTCGTCCAGCGAGAACAATCATTTACCGCCATTGAAGGCGAGTACACTGTCCCTGAAGCAGCCGGCCGGCGAGTCTTCGCCGAGTCACTTGGCCCATGCCGGTCACATGGTTAGCACCCACTTGCCCAGCCTGAGTTCCAGTGCGAACAACAGTCTGCTCAGCCTGACTGGGAACTCGGACAGCCTGAATCTGAGTTTGAGCTCCCACACTAGCCACAACTCGAGTCATAACTCGAGCCACAACTCGAGCCACAACTCTAGCCATAATTCCAGTCACAATTCGCACGCACAGCCGAACGGCCAGTCTAGCAGCGCGTTGGTGAAAAACGGCCGGTCAGACGCCAGCTCACTGGACGGTGTGCCTTTCAAGCCGAAGTCCATCACCGTCACGCCAGAGTTGGTCATGAAGGTCTACAAAGACAAGCTGACTGCATACGAGCATCAGGAGATCTTCAAGTATCCGGAGATCTATTTCATCGGGGCGAACGCGAAGAAGAGGCAAGGCATCATCGGCTGGCCGAACAATTGTGATTATGACAACGATCAGGGTTCCTACATACACGTGGCGCACGACCATGTGGCGTACAGGTACGAGGTGCTCAGGGGAATCGGTCGGGGCTCGTTCGGTCAGGTGGTGAAGGCGTACGACCACAAGATGCAAGAGCATGTCGCATTGAAGATGGTCAGGAACGAGAAGAGGTTCCATCGACAAGCGCAAGAGGAGATCAGGATACTTAGGAAGCTACGGGAACAGGACAAGGACGATACGATGAACGTTATACACATGTTTGACTCGTTCACGTTCCGTTCCCACATGTGCATCACCTTCGAGCTTCTCAGCATCAACCTCTACGAGCTGATCAAGAAGAACAAGTTCCAGGGATTCAGTATGCAGCTCGTCAGGAGGTTCGCTCACTCGTTGTTGCAGTGCCTCGACGCTCTCTACAAGAATAAAATCATTCATTGCGATATGAAGCCGGAGAATGTTCTTTTGAAGCAGCAAGGACGTAGTGGTATCAAGGTTAGTCTCTTTCTGCCTATTTTTTGGGGAAGAAAATTTAATTATTCACGAGTTTTATTGGGGAAACATATTCAACTCTTTCTATTCAAACAATGTCGATTTATCTATTAGACTCTTTCGAAAACAAGATTAAGAATAACATTTGCAGAAATTGTAAAGAACGAGAAATTTTTGTATGGAAATATTGTATATTTTATCAGCAAAAATTGTAAACAGAACATTTTTAAATTAGGAAAAGGTTTATCAAACAATAGTTCTTGAAAACATGAACAGTCATGAACCACATTTACTAAGAAATCTAAAAATGAGACGCGATCATAATTGTTACGTAAACGTTACACATGCAACATATGAGACTGGTTGTTAATGTGTACATACAGCAGGGAGTTGATTTAGGACGTTGCTTTATGCAGAAAAATAATCCAAATCGTAGTTATGTAATTTTCTCATTTACGATAAATTATTCTTTTATATTTATATTTTCTCCGTTTTATTATGTCCTATAATTTAAATATGATAATAAAAATGACTGAAAGGGTTAAATAATAAAAAAA